GGTCTAAAGAACACTTCATAGTTTGTACAGCACGTCCAAAAGTATTGTGTGATAAAGTATTTCGACTCCTGATTTCTGAAGCGAGAGACAAAATTAAACTCTTGCTATTGTTAGGATAATTAAAAAACCTATTAATGATTCGGCGTGCGTGTAGACCTCAGTCGGTTGTGTCGCGCGACACGCACGGTTTAATACTGATCAGATTGTTTGTTCGGATGGAAACGTTTTACCGCAGGTGAAAGTTCCTCTCCATTTACAGAGGACTCTGCACCCTGCAGGAACACGAAAAACGGCAATCCGAGACTCGATCCACAATCCTTCTGCTCCGTACTCATAATTGACAGCCGTTCACTCTGTCTTCTAACCGCTGAACGGCGGACGACGGCTACCAGGGTCTCTTCTTCACGTGGCATCCGTGGTACAACTTCACGGAAGATACGTGCACGCATTCGCTGCCTCTGATTGGTCAGTTTGTCCGCGGTGAAGGAGCTGGATGTGGGCCGCCATAACCGCAGATTATAGCCCGAAGTGCAAGGAACTTCGGAGTCTTAAGGACACAGTTAATACATTACGGAGGTTTTGTGTAGCCTGTTGAACTCTGAAGACGATTTGAGAACAGTTGATTGGAAAAGATGGAGGAGGGAACGGAAGTGAGGTTTTTCATGATAATGTCTCGAAAGGGCTGAAGAAACCGCAAGTAATCTGAGTACCCCGTGCCTCAGACGAGATATGAACCGGCCACCTTCGGAATGAAAATCAGCTTGCAGATGCAGGCCTGGCCTTCCAAGTTTGGCGACAGGGACAGAGGAATGCCTTGACTGTCCCTAGTTCCACTATATCACGAGTCAGCCGGACGCTAGTTTCAGTATATCACGAATAATCCAGGCCTTAGTTCCAATAATTAACGAGTTAGCCGGTCCCTAGCTCCATTATATCACGAGTAAGGCGGTCCCTAGTTCCGGTATATCACGAGTTAGCCGGTCCCTAGCTCCATTATATCACGAGTTAGCCTGTCCCTAGTTCCAGTATATCACGAGTAAGGCGGTCCCTAGTTCCAGTATGTAACCAGACAGCAGGTCCCTAGTTCAACTATATCACGAGTTACCCGGTCCCTAGTTCCAGCACGAACACTGGTTCCACGAAGCCGACTCCTCGCACGTTTTGTTGCCGTCAATAAATTAGGCGGGGGCTGAGGTCACTGCTTCTCGTCATGCATAGGAATTATTTGTCTTGTGCTTCTGAATACACGTCCTGTGTCCCACTTCAGCCGTTTTCCCAGAACGAATGACATCGACTGCAGAAAATGAGGACACGCGATTTCTACCGAACGAAGTCTCTGACGTTCCTGCTGCTTGTCGCTGTGGCTGTTATAGGGATGACCGGCGCCTGGATTCGATCCCAGGACTCTGACTCTTAAGTACGATTATAATTTGATTTTTAATGCCTCCGTCCTTGGTTCCTGCACTCCGAATTGCGAACAGCCGACAAGGGGTGGTTCTGCGGGAGGACTAAAACTCCTTACTGTAAAAAGGATATGAATTTTCGAAATATTCCACGTTAAGGAAACAAGGACTGGTGGTGTTTAAGAAGACGACATAATGATGAGCTTCATAATTTATTAATTAATAATTATTTGGATGATCAAACGAATGATAATGAGATCGACGGAGCTTGACTTAGGCGTAGATGGTATGATAATATTAAAATGGATCTGGAAAAAAATAATGGGAGTGTTTGGATTGAATCGGATAGAGATCAGCTGAATATCCTTGTGCACGCGTAATGTAAATTTTTGGTTCCATAAAAGGCGGGGAATTCGTCGATTTGCTTCTCAATGTGGCCACTGCGCGCGCATGTTTTTTCGTGATAATCTGTTCTCGGCAGAATCGATTCGTATGTCGACAGTCGCCCTGGTCTGGCGTCACCGCCGACTGTGTGTTTACTCGCGTAAGAGAAAGCGATGGAACTGATACGGAGGTGTCAAGGGCGACTGTCAGCGTGTCTATTCGTAGGAAGCTCTGAGGCCTGGAAAGGTGCTGAAAAGTTAGTTACTGGCTCTCAGTCAAGCGTCCTTAGTGGTAACATTTTATGGGCAATTGCATGTAAAAATAATACATTACAGGAAAAATAATACTTCGGTTGTAATTTTTGGACAACCCTGCAACTGGCGAATTATCATAATCGCTGTTCTCCAGGCGCCTATAGCAGAATGGTTGCACGAAGAAGCAGGCTGTGTTCCATATTAACCGTGTTCGTCCGACTGACAATTTCAATATCGATTTATCTCGATAATACATAGATACATACCCACAGAATATCTCGATCATTTCCTTCGCATTATACTGACTCCTTTGTAGGCGACGAGGCGCATGCGTCGAGTTACCAGCGTCATATCGTCTGGACTGCTTTAGGTTATGTTAGGTTACGATGTGCTGCTTTGCGTTCGGTCAGATTAATTCGGATCCGTTCCGTTTACCTAAGTTTAGTTCAGTATTTCGGTTTAAATGAAGTCTGAAAGTTTGTGACAATGTGCTTTGTAGTCTGTAAAAGTTGTATTTTGGATTATGTCCATTGTGTATATTTCAATAAAATCACAACGACAAGAATACAGGTACTGCAAACCTTTAATTGTTTCTAAAATTTGTGTTTATCACAAAATGGTTCCTTTCATGTTTTTATTTGTCAGTGGATTCAACTTTCCGTTTTGATTGTGTTATTGTTACGTCCACCTTTTCGTAAAACCAATGGATGGATGTGTGTGAAACAGTTCTGCTGACGGAACAATGGAAAAATCAGTAGGTGTGGCGTAGTTGTTAAGGACACTGTCTAAAACGACGGGCGTGGGCTGTTGTTAACACAGTAATGAACCTTTTCGGTGCCATGAAAGGTGAGAAATTTCTTTTACCGGTTGAGCAACCGAGGTCTGTCTTCTGTAGAGTTAGTTCATATCAGATACGTCGTTAACTGCCAGTCTGATAATACTTCAATTGATCGCATTGTCGTAGACATGGAGTAATTTTAATCGCAGGTAAGGACGACACGTGTAAGAAGGGAACAATGATGATGAAAATTATATTTACTTTCTGATAGACAAGATCAGTGTGTGTGTTCGTCATTGTCTCTACAACATTTTGAAAGCCAGCTCCTTCAAACACACGTAAAACATTTGCATTGGGGTTTGTGTCACTTTTCAAGGCTTGGGAAGTTTTCTCATGCTACCTGCATGATTCGAAGGTTAACCCACATCGAAGCAGAGGAGATGTCATTAAGATGAGAGTTAATTTGATGCCCTGAGAAATTTCTGCACAAATTTCCCACATGCCTCATATATATATATGACCTTGTGGCATTCTGCTCGTATGAAATGTTCTGAATTACCCGGGCGGTGATTCTCATCTGGTCTTTGTCCTTGGAATTTTAAAGCATTTGCCACTCTCGACGACGTGGCTTTAACCCAAATATCTACGATGGTTAAAATCGTGCGATGTTATTGAATAACTAAGGTGAATTTTTCCTTTGTTTCTGGAAAATGTTTACTTCCCGCAGAGCTTATATTTCAATTTATTTTGCGTAAGGGCTGTCCAAATTATTTTATATGGCATATAAAAAGAAATACGGTCATAGTACCACGTGGTTATGAGTAGGGCTCGCCAGTTATTTATTTCTGTTCAAGCTCAGTCCACTTTATATCAGCTGCGTATTTACAAAAAACATTGTCGATATCACAAAATTACACTTTGTTCTCCAAATAATATTTGGCGCAGAAATTGACTGTCAGATTTGGTTGTGCATTTGTGCCTAATCTATTATAGGTTTCTTTTAATTGTCCTCGTTTGTACTAGTTACTTTTTCTGTTTCAAAGGTCTAACTAACTAACTAACTAACCAGATGGCTTACGGAACTCGAAGGTTCATCACCGAATTAACCAAAGCCCTCCACCGGACCCTGTCCTGGGCCAACAAAATCCAGTCTCCTTCAACTCCTATCTCCCATAGATCCCGCCTGAGATCATCCTCCCATCTACGTCTAGGTCTCTCCAGAGGTCTCTTCCCCTCAGGCTTCCCAAATAGTGGACCCAACCAACCAGATGGCTTACAGAACCCGAAGGTTCATCACCGAATTAACCAAAGCCCTCCACCGGACCCTGTCCTGGGCCAACAAAATCCAGTCTTCTTCAACTCCTATCTCCCATAGATCCCGCCTGAGATCATCCTCCCATCTACGTCTAGGTCTCTCCAGAGGTCTCTTCCCCTCAGGCTTCCCAAATAGTGGACCCAACCAACCAGATGGCTTACAGAACCCGAAGGTTCATCACCGAATTAACCAAAGCCCTCCACCGGACCCTGTCCTGGGCCAACAAAATCCAGTCTCCTTCAACTCCTATCTCCCATAGATCCCGCCTGAGATTATCCTCCCATCTACGTCTAGGTCTCCCCAGCGGTCTCTTCCCCTCAGGCTTCCCAAATAGTGGACCCAACCAACCAGATGGCTTACGGAACCCAAAGGTTCATCACCGAATTAACCAAAGCCCTCCACCGGACCCTGTCCTGGGGGAAGACAAAATATTTTGAACTGAGAAGTAGCGAGCATTTCCAGAATTTAATCTCCTCCCAACTTCCTCGTGAGTGTCATTTTGATTTGTTGTCAAATATTTGAACTTTGTCACGATTTAAATTGTCCTCTCACAGCCGTATATTTTTCTAGTAGAGAAGAATGTGTACAGATCAGCTGAAGATATGTTGACGGCCAGAAAGGTTTATGGTAGTTTACCGACGTTTCATTGCCCTGACGACGGAGGCAGCAGGGACCTCACGAACTTTGGTAAACTTCCACTACGACCCAGAAGTCAGCCATCTTCATTTTGTATTACAATACTTTGATGGTTGTTGGTATTTGTGGGCGGCTTTTAAATTAACAACGAGAAGACTGTCTTAAATGAAAATGGTTTATGAAGAAGGTTTTGAAGATTTAAAACTATTTTGCGTTTTCTTTATTTTTAGGACAAAAGCTCGGATTTGTTGAAATTCCACAAAATGTCAGTGCCACAGTTGGAGAGCCATTGCTACTGCAGTGCAAAGGAAACTCTACTCTGACGGATTGTCAGTGGTCGTGGCTGTCGCTCGAAGATGGACCGAACGCCACGGCGACGCCCGTGAAGGAATATCCGGCGTTCGGCGATGGAACGACGAACGACTGTAGCGTGAGGTTTACCAGTTTATTGGCTCAGCAACAAGGGTTTTGGATATGCGGAATTCGTGGCCAAGGACTCAGCACCTTCGTAAATTCACCCCCAGCGAAGTTGGTAGTTCACTATGGAGGTAAGTTTAACAAATTACGTAACTAAAGTCAGATTTCAGGTTCTCGTGGCGTCACGTACGTATTTTGCAGAGATTTCTGAATGTTCCAGAGTTTCATAACATTTTTTACATTACGGGATAGCTGAGTCAGTACAGTGACGACCGGGGTTCGATCCCCGGCGGGGACAGGATTTTTTTCCTCTAGCCTCTGCGTCCAGACCGGCTCCGGGGCCCACCGAGTCTCCTTTCCAATGGGGTACCGGGGTCCTTTCCCAGGGGTGATGCTGACCACTCACCCCATCTAGTGCCGAGGTGAAGAACTAGTAGGAGCTAGACCGCCTCTCCCCCCAAGCGACTAAATGGCGTGTAGCAGGGCTGCTTTACCGGATTTCTTGTCTGGTTTGATGAATCATAGTCCACGCCCCTTTGACGTGGTAACTGACAGTTTCGCGTTTTTATTTATTAATCCTGTGTCCGACTCTGAATCTTGTAACTCGTCCATCCAATAATACTAAATCGTGATCTGATTTGATCGATAAATTTTCTTCTGTGTGTAATTGGAAGATCTATTTGTAGCTTATCATTTCTTTAGGTGAATACTTTGTTTTGTATTATGTGAAATTTACATAATAGTTCGAATTGTACTTTATAATATGTATTGTTATTATTTTTATCATTATTATTATTGAGATGTAAATGAAGAGAATAAAGAGGAAAACAGTTTGAGCAGGTTAACTAGATGGAATATATATAAAGGTAAATGCGTATCTGTTAAAATTTCTGTTGTAAAGTGCCTCATCCTGGAAGCATTTTCAGTTTTTATTCAGGTGCTGTGATGTGCACATTGCTTAACTGAAATTGTTTATTTTCTCAGTCGAGTTTTCTGAGGTGATAAAGGATTCTGTCCTGGAAGCTGGTCAGGAGTTGCTGTTGACTTGCAAATCTGCACGTCCAGTGAAGGAATGTCAGTGGAAATGGAGGACCCTCGCATCGGACGATGAGACGGGGCTTACGGTCAAGACGTTCCGAGCATTTGGGAATGAGAGTCGGGACTGCAGCATCCGCCTAAGCAACGTCTTGATGGAGCAAGAAGGATTCTGGACTTGCGGTGCTCGTAATTCCGAATTAAACTTTACGACAGCACGACCGATGAAACTCTCTGTCCATCACCCACAGGAAGGTGAGTTGAAAGATAAAATGTATTTTTGCTTTTAAGATACAGGTGATTTTTAATCTTCTCCTTCTCCTCCTCCTCCTCCTTCTCATTCTCCTTCTTCTCAGTCTCCTCCTTCTTCTCCTTCTTCTCCTCATTCTACTTCTCCTCCTCCTTCTCCTCCTTCTCATTCTTCTTCTCCTTCTCCTTCTCCTTCTCCTTCTTCTTCTCCTTCTCCTTCTTCCATGTCCTTCTCCTCCTTCTCCTTCTCCTTCTTATCCTTCTCCTCCTCATTCTCATTGTCCTCCTCCTCCTCCTTCTCATTCTCCTTCTTCTCCTCCTCCTCCTCCTTCTTATCCTTCTCCTCCTTCTCCTTCTCCTTCTTATCCTTCTCCTCCTCATTCTCATTGTCCTCCTCCTCCTCCTTCTCATTCTCCTCCTTCTCCTTCGTCTTATCCTCCTCCTTCTCATTCTCCTTCTTCTCAGTCTCCTCCTTCTTCTCCTTCTTGTCCTCATTCTTCTTCTCCTTCTTCTTCTCCTTCTTCTTCTCCTCCTTCTTCTTCTCCTCCTCCTTCTCCTCCTCCTCCTCCTTCTTATCCCTCTCCTCCTTCTCCTCCTCCTTCTCCTCCTCCTTCTCCTCCTCCTCCTTCTTATCCTTCTCCTCCTTCTCCTCCTTCTCCTTCTCCTTCTTATCCTTCTCCTCCTTCTCCTCCTTCTCCTTCTCCTTCTTATCCTTCTCCTCCTTCTCCTCCTTCTCCTTCTCCTTCTTATCCTTCTCCTCCTCATTCTCATTGTCCTCCTCCTCCTCCTTCTCCTCCTCCTTCTTCTTCTCCTTCTCCTTCTTCCATGGCCTCCTCAATTCTCCTCTTCCATTCGGACCTCTGTTAGGTCGGTCTGTCCGAGGCTTTGATTGAGGTTTCGAAACATCTTTTTTTTTGCAGTGTAAGGTTGTTAGCCTTGCGACCAACCCCCAACCTGGAGGACCAGGGTACCTCTCCCCCTCGACCAATCTACGCTACCGCCAGCATAGCTCTTGGATTTTGAATTATAGCAAATAAAATTAGTCCTTAGTGAAGTATGCGCTTGCCTTAGTACACGTCGAGCAGTTGGTGTGGTCTACAGGCCTGGAGTCAGCAAATGTTTTGAAAATTTGTGCATATTTGGTGACATTAGCCCATTTTTGAACATGTTAATGAAATTGGAGGAAGAAATTCAATGCCTTCCAGGATCTGGTTGTGCGTTTGCTAGAAAGGGAGACGACGCAGCGACTGAAGAATGCAGGCAATTGAATCTTTAATCATTTTCAACTGACACCTCCCACCACATCAGTAGGGGTTGAAGGCGGAATAATTTGGTGTTCGCCCTTTCTCGATCTTCAGCGGCCGGTCACAGAACATGAAGGAAGCCACAGACAGATTCTTGGGATGCGTGTCAAAATGTAGACCTTCAACTAATCCAAAAAGCAATTGGTAATTCACAAACCGCGTAACACACATTCTCGCAGACACGCTTAGGAGTGAATTAAACTCGCTCTAACCAAAGAACTGGTTCTAAAGGTATCTCAGTCCTTCCATATATAAATTTATTGACTTTTTCACTGTTTCAGCAGTTGAATTTTCAGAGTTGGCACATGACATCCAAGTGAGCGTCGGAAAGCCGCTCGTACTTAACTGCAGAACGTTGAAACCTGTAGAGGAATGCCAGTGGACTTGGAAATCGACGTCTGCGACCAACAAGGCGACGGAAGTAGTGATGAAGCAGTTCCCCTCGTTCGGAAATGACAGTCGAGACTGCAGTATCCGTTTCGACAGTGTGGTGAGTGAACAGGAGGGAGTCTGGACGTGCGCCGCTCGCTTTGAGTGGCAAAATTATTTCACGTCTGCACATCCTGTGCAACTCTCCATCTTTACAGGTAATCTTTTGTAAATGTCAGAGCTAAGGTTAAGGTGTCTTGAATTAAGATTTAAGCCAAGATGGGTTAGAGGTGGTCCCAGGACTTCCGAAATACAGGATCGCTAACTGCGTTCCTGCAGGATTCAGTAATGAAACTAGAAGCGGAGATATTTTCTATGAAATAGAGAGGCTTTTTTCTAAAAGAAAGTACAGTTTTAAGAGAAGAAGTTGCTGATGAGATTTGGTTTATTGAATTGTGAATTTTTGTTCAAGAATTTTTAATCTGTGATCCGCTCTGGGGGCATTTTTAGGGAAGGGCATGGCTGAATATTTGTGCGCCATCATTTGTCCATATTTAATTTTGTTCTTTTATACATCTCTGTGCATTGAAATCAGTAGTAATCCGTCGTGCCTTTTCTAACAGCGTCCAACAAATTCTCAGCAAATCAAGCAGAAATATGTGAATAAAAGAGTTTCTCAAAAGTGCCATCGTGCGATTGGCTGATGTTCGTAAACACAAGTTTTGTAGTTGTTGAGGGCATGAAGGAAACTGCCGACGTAAGAGATAAGAAATGGGGATGGAGAATGAGGAGCTTTTCTGTGTTGTTAGGAAGAATGAAGAAGGTTGGAACATGTAGCGTGCTTAAAGAGGCAAGAAAGCATAACACTGAGGCAGGCGCGCTGTATCGGAGGATAATATTTGAGTAGGTCGTAGTTCATGAAGTCATAAGCCAGAACTTACCAAGGACAAGGTGTATTGATGATCTATCGTGGTGATGATGAGCATTTGCATCCATGGCGACAAATGATTTATTGTTAATCTATGTTATATTAAATACTGAATAATACTTTACTATGCGGTTACATAATTTAATATTATTATTCTATATTTAGGTGATTTTTTTTTTCTTCCAAAAACCTTAGATTTCAGAAATGATTAATCTTTACTTATGTTTTTTTCAAGATTTCAAGATTGTAACTGGATTTTCTTTCAAGTTATATTGGAAATTTAAATTCCTGTACTGTAGAAGGCTGTTGATCAAATTTTAATGTTATAGTGATATGTTAGTGAGTGCGTGAGATGTGTTGCGTAGTCAGTAAGGCCTAACTTAACCGTGCGCCAAAATAATTATGCCACCGTCTACTCTAGATCAGTCGTCAAAGCTAGTTTAACATGTCAGCGTTTCGCTTAACGAAGATAGGTCAGCACGGTGCTACAGTCAGTAGACTTTAATTTTACGAAGAGTGCCGAGTACTTAAATTCATGTAAATTTGATACTGGTTCTGGGTAGGAGTGGAATTTGTGCAGCTGTCCCAGGACATTCAGATTGCTATTGGAGAGCCGGTGTTGCTGCGCTGTGTAACGAACATGGCGGTGGAGCTGTGCCAGTGGTCGTGGCAGCCGCTCAACGGCACCAATGAGACTGCTGTCGTGGTTAAACAGTTCCCAGCGTTTGGTGAGGATGGACGAGATTGCAGCGTGAGGTTCAAGAGTGTCCTGGAAGAACAGGGAGGCATCTGGAGCTGTGCTGTACGCTTGTACGCGCACTCCCCTTTCACTGCGGCCACGCCTCCGGCTACACTTACGTTGCTTCCTGCAGGTTAGTCGCTATGAAAACAAAGTTTAGAATTCAACAATAATTTGAAATTTGAAAGAGTTTTACTGAGGTGGATGTCTTCAAAACTTACTAAGATTTTACTGAAATTATATTTAAGGTGTCTTTACCATCTGTGCAGTAATATAAATTAAAATCCAGAAATAGTTATAAACATTTGTGATTGAATGTAAAAATTAAAATAAATGTTTTTGGTTTAAGTGCTCATTTAAGACATTCATGAAAATGTAATTTTAAGGAAACTCATTTTCTGATCCGAATTTGAACCTTCTGATGTTTGGATCTAGTAACAAGACTTCGGTTTTTGGTAAAGATGAACTTTCAGGTTCTAAAATCAGTTGATTGCTGTTTGGTTTTAAATTTTAAAGAAATCTGTACTTAGAGAATGTGGTTTTTGTGCATGCTGAGGCCAAAAGGTCATATTTTATAACCAAATTTTATAACAAAAGTACATTTGAAAATGAGAACTGTTGTGCTTTAAATTGCAGTGCGCGTGAAATTGTTAGAGCTGCCAGAAGACGTGAGAGTGGCAGTCGGAGACTCGGCTTTGCTGCGTTGTGTTGCGACAACATCCGTGAATGACTGTCAGTGGACATGGCGGCCCTTATCCGAGCCCAACAAGACAGAGGTGGTAGTGAAACAGTTTCCCGCTTTCGGCAATTACAGTCGAGACTGCAGCGTACGCTTCCGTAATGTGCTGAAGGAGCAAGAAGGTCTTTGGGGATGCACTGTAATAGGTCCACCGAATTATACCCTACTGGCAGCACCTCCTGCAAAGCTCATCGTGTTCGAACCAGGTAAACATTTCTGAAATAATCTTTTTTTGTGTTGATTTTTCAGAAAACAACCTTTTTAACTGTTTATGTGGAACTTCGCTTAATTGGGCTAGAGTGTTTGAGTCCCGATGTGTCCCAGTTAACCAGAATCCGATGTATTTATGAAGGATTTCTGTAGCGTACATCCTTAGAAGGGAAAGGTCTGGGTAGGAGATCAGTGTTAAATGTAATGAGGAAGTGAATTTCAGTGATGTGATTTCAATTGAACTGGCTCGGGTAAAGATACTCCTTTTCTTTGAAGTGGTGGACTCTTGGGTTTAAATCTTAGATGTAGATAGCATTTTGTTTCAGTTTCTGAACCTATTTTTTGGGGGGTATTAAGAATGTGAAAGATTTGACTTTCCTGTGCGAGAACATTGTTTCCTCAAAATCAGTTTGTAATGAGCTGCCATTACTGCATATCATTGAAAATTGTTAGAATTCTTCATAAAAAAATAAAACAGCATTTCTCCATTTATGTTTGAAATTTTAAAACTACATTTTTACTATATTAATTTATTTACAATAATTTAGCGTACTGGTAGAATCTGAGAGTTGTATTACTTAACATTATTCAATTAGTATCACACATTAATAGATCACATTTGTTGGTTGGGTTATACTATTTATTTGTCTATTGAGAATGGGTCATGTTTAAACATCAATTTAGGTTCGTGTTGCTGGTTTCATGTACATAATTTTAAGCAGTCAGTATTATCTGTCAGCATGAAATATACACTGTGTGACAGACTGTGATACTGGGAACGACCAGTCCTTCAAGTGCCTGAGCACTGCGGGTCCCAACTTTTCGTTGGCTCGATCTATAGACATTTCGGTAGGACTCCTTGGACGAGGGATCGGCCCGTCGCGAGGCCTCTACCTGTACACAGGACAACATCCATGGCCTGAGTGGGATTCGAACCCACGGTCCCAGCGGCACAAGGCCCACGCCTCAGACCGCGCGGCCGCTGCGGACCCCGTGTGGCAGACATGTTATAAAAATAATAAATTCTTCTCAGAGGCCACCAGCCATGTCAAGTGGTTGAAAGGTAAAAAAACTGTTTAAGAACCATCTTCGTCCTCGTCCCCAGGGTTCTGAAGCGAACGCTGGTTTTTTCACCTTTCGGTCACCTGACGTGGCTGGTGGCCTGGCAAGGATTTGTCATACTTTGTTGCCATGAAAACACCAGATCACACGTGTTATACATATTTGTGTGTAGTAATTAACTCAGTGGAGGAATGGAGTCCCACTTCTGTGGAACCTGAAGGTTCAAAATTATACGCACAAGAGCCCAACCCTGAAACTTGTCCCAAACCAGCTGAACCAAATGCATGCTCTATGTCTTGTTTCTGTGAGATCTATTTTAATATTATCCTTCCATCTACACCTGGGTCAGTACGTAATAGTAATAATGTCAACATATTCTTTTACTCACTTTTTTGTTAATTTCTGTAACTGAATATTGAGTTCTGTATTGCAGAGATTATAGATCTGTGAATTTGTTACTAAAGTATGCGGCTAGAACTGTGACGCAGTAATTAGCAGTATTTTGGATGAGACCGTTCAGTCTTCTAAAATTCTTTGTTGTATTTCAGTGCCGATTAATTTTATACAACTGTCTCAAGACATCCAGATGCCTCCAGGGGGGCCACTAACAATTCGCTGCACGACAGATTCAGAAGTTGAGGAGTGCAAATGGACATGGCAGTCACTGGATGAATCAAATTCCACTGAGATTGTGTTAAGACAGTTCCTGGCACCAAGAAACAACAGCCGAGACTGTAGTTTGCACTTCGACGCGGTGCTGACCGAGCACGAGGGCAACTGGACCTGTGCCGCCAGAAATCCGGCGGAGACGCACTTCACGTCTGCTCCTCCCGCTCGTCTCACCTTGCTTCATCCAGGTATTAAGTCTGTGAACCACAGAAGCTCAAAGGGACCAACATAGACTGCGTAACTAACTAGCATTCAGTATCAGTCACATTGGTTCCTTGTACCCAAAATTCTGAGGCATGCTTTTTTTAAGTATGTTTCTTCTTGGTGGAGGTTTCAAATCTGCTAATAATTTTGCTGGAGATGTGTCAGATCTTTTATTTGTTTCTTCCTAGGGGGTAGATGAATGACATTTCTACGTAACTTCCATCAGAAGAGAACTTTTTTTTTTTTGAGTCTGTTATTATAAAAATGTGCTATAATTTTTATGAACTCAGGGAATCGAAGACTTCGGACGAGTGCCTCAGTAACTGAATTTTTAACTGTTTAAGAATGCGATCACAGAACTGGAGCTGAGATGTTACTTTGTGTTTCAGTAGGTATTGTGCATGTTACAAGAGATGTTTTTATTAATAAACTATATTTATCATCAAATTTATCATGATTTTAGCAGTGAAAATGCATGTCCACACAGTGTTCCTAACATTGTCAATGAAAACTGTAAATAACTCTGCTGAACAGAAGTTTTGATTCGTCGAGAGCAAGATGTCACATTAGCAATCATTTATTTATAAACCATGTGTAAATGAATCTTTTTCGTATTGTAGATCACTATTTTGTAGGGTGTGGGAAAATGATGAACATAAACTAGGGGGCTATGTAGAACCATAATTTGGAGGGACCTGATTCCTTGGAAATTATCATCATTGAGATACAGACCCAGAAAGTGCCACTGAACGAGCACGTGTTGCTTGGTGCGCGTGGTAACAGGGCAGACATTGCAGCCGTGGGATATGTGGAATGCCATCTTCAAAATGCAAATGTGTTCCACCGGCCGGAGCAGAGAATGAGCGAGAGTGGCGATGTCTGCCACTGCCAACAGCAGATAGAGGTTGGTAGCACACTCGCTGGACATCCGTGATCAAAGAGATTGTTCTCGGTGTGGTAACACAGGATGCACATGGAACTCCTTTTCTTCAACGTGTATGTGAACGTGAGCAAGATCCCAGATTTGTTGAACGTCTCGTGAACTGACAGAGTGGCACCCGTATGTGAAGGCGTCTCTTAACAGTCGTAACAGTGCTGGTGAGCGTTGGACGTGTGAGACGAACCACGAAGTTCAGTGGAGATGAATGTGTGGTCCGGTTTTATTGGCAGAAGTGCGATGAGACGTACCTGCTCACGTACCGCCTAATTCTCTCTACGTGTAGTGTTTATGATAAGTTGTACCACTGAAACGTGAAGACGTTACCTTGGATGTTTGCTGTGATGTGGTTTCAGCATGATATGGAGTACCTCCCCATTTTGGGACAGGCCCAACAGCATCCCAGCATACATCTTCCTGACACGTGATCTGGCTGTAATAGCCGAATATCATACGGACGTCTGTTTTTTGTGTACGCACCTGAAGGAACTCATTTACAGGGGCTGACCATCTGACAAGGAGGAGGTGAAGAAACTGCATGCTGATATCATTGATAGAGACATTTTACAATGAGTGCAAGCCAGTGCTCGGAGGATGCGGGGGTGGACGCTCTGAACACCTCGGCCTGTCAGCATTTGATATGCGTTGAGTGTCTCGTTCCCATCCACTTCCTGTTCATCGTTAATGCTTTTACTTAATGCATGACTGCCACCTGCCAGTTTTTGTTCTCGTTCAGTCACATCTGTCTGCTTGGGACTGTTCCTATGCATCAGCGGCACCACCGTTTTCTGCACTACATCGGATCAGACGACTGTCCAATCTGATGGTACTTTCTGGGCCTGGATCTCAGTGGTCATAGATTCAAGGGAATTTGATCACCACGTTTTATCTTTGTTTTACATATCCTTATTTTTTTAATAAATAGCATTTAATATTCTAAGGAGTGAAATGATTGGCCATCGAACAGACTTCCATAAGATAATGACAATTTTTGATAATGAATATAATGCACCGACTGATAATGCTGCTGCTGTAGCGGATGATAATGTTTACTGATGTTATCTGTTAATTGGCAGAGAGCTGAATAATAATGTGGACTAGTTTGAGAAAAAAAACTCTTACGTATGAATTAATTAAACACGTATGTGCGGAATCGTAAGTGTTTAAGAGTGGTATAAACGCAGCACCGTCAGACTCGTAATGTGTACAGTTTGCAACCAAAGAATTAGTAGATGAAGCTGAAGGAAACTTTAGAAGTTGTACATAAATTTGTCTGGATTAACATGAGTTTGTAAAGAGTTTAATTAAAATGTAATGAGAAAGGTGAAAGCGAGCTGTCAAGTTAGTGAATGCAGGAGAAAATGTAAAATATTTAGACAGTGATTGTGTGGATTTCTACATCGTGTAGTCTTGCAGATGGCTACCGGTTTTTCAGACGTTTGTATCATCTCCATCTTCAGGTTGTACCCAGAAGTTCAGGGTGTTAAATGTTTTAAATACAGTTCTAAATTAATATAAAAGAAATGCCGGTTCAGGTGATCTCTTAACATTCAACACACAATGAAGGATTTTGCCAAAATCTTAAAAACAAAGCCTGCCTTATTTCAGTTAGTGAACAATGTTAATATAAAAATTTAAAGTTTTCATGGCAATTTTAATAATATGATGACTTGCGGGTTGTCAGCCATGTCGGTTGAGCTGGGGAAGAAATCGCCAACGTTTCAAGAACTATGTCGTTCTCATCCTCAGGGTACTGGTGGGGCTGTAGAAGCAGGCTGCGGCTATGCGCTTGCCTGAGCCTTGTATTCCTGGCTGCGTGCTAGCCAGTGGGGGAACCGGTCCCCCATTGGCTAACATGCTTCTACGGCCACACCAGTACCCTGAAGATGAGAACAGCATAGTTCTCGAAACGTTAGCGGTTTGTTCACCAGCTCAACCGACATAGCAAGTCATCATATTAATGTTAATTTCACGTCAGTTCTGAAGGGTTCTGACAATGTTATATCACAGTTATTGAATTTATGGTCTTTGTTACACTCTGAATTTTCAGTGCCATGAAATCGATCTCTGATTATCTACAAACTTTTTTTTTTTAATTTTTTTGTTGAACTCGCCAGTCATATCATCCACATTGTTTGTTGAGTTTTCAGAATCTGAGCTCATAATTGTCAAATTTTACCTCTCCAGCACCATCGTTTTATTATTCAGGACTAAATCCTGTGTGATCTCTGTGTCAGATGAACTTATATGGCATTTGCATTCCAGAGAAATCTGAGCCGCTGAAGTTGCTTCCTAATTGCCTGTTGGTCAGACATAATCTGTGCCATATTCTTTGAACTTACCACTCATTAAGTAGATTGCGTATCTCAGTTGCTAGGCTCTAGCTACGAAACTTTAAGTAATTGTAATATAAGTTTTATTTAATTTTAATTATTGACTACTTGCTTTGCTCGTATTTATGATAAATTATACATGTGTGACAGTAAAGTGTATTTCTCTGTTTCATACAAATATTAATGTATAATATTTTATTGTAGTAATTATTTCTCAAGACTAAGTGTTTAGCCATGAAGATGGCTATAAAGCTAGTCAAAACATGTTGCTGATTGTTATGTACCAGTGACCTTGAAGTATGTTGCAGTGTCGTGATACTGATATAATTGTTGTGAATGGATGAATAATATTAAAAATTAAATTATAGTTGAATTATTTGTTGCTTACTTTGTGTATATTTTAGATGCTGTTGTTTTTGATCCGTAAATCAGAGCCTTTTATGAGTAATGTTGCGGCATTTATGAAATTGGGTCGAAGGCAGTAAATGTTGTTATTACATTTTTAAATTATTATCGGAAGCCGCCAGTACAGGTGTTCTCCTACCAGTTGAAAAACAATGAAAGATTTTGTCATCTTTTTTGTAACACAGCCTGCGTTCTTCAGTTACTAAATAATTTTTATATCAGATCAATTCTAAATGGCTCTGATCAATGTTATATTGCCAGTTACTATTACTGTCATCTTCACACTTGAATTCCACCGAATTACATATTTTTGGAACATATTCATTTTCATGTGTTTGTATTTATGTGGTTCGAATTTCTTTCTCATTTGCTTTGCAAAAATTTGCATCTAGGATACATTTCACTGGGCTCATGATTCACTTTGGATTCATCTTCTATACCCTGTAATAAATAATTCGGTGTTTGCCTTAGAACCGGCGTAACATAGAGTATCTCAAGTGACCTTGAAACAGTGATAAGATAGATGCATCTAAGGAGGTGCAATCCCTCTTAAAAACTGAACATTATCTTATAAACCAAGTCTCGTTCTAAGAGATTCAGTAATTTTCCTTTTTTTTTTTTTATATGTTTCAATGGAAAAAAACTTGTGTGCTTCAACTATAAACCAAGATGATGAAAGACTTTCGGGCAAAAAGCCGCGTCGAGAGTCTTATCATCAACTTCAGTCGCCATGAAAGCTCCATTTTGTATATAAGCCAAGATATTAAGATCTCTATTCAAGAAATGGTGCAATATTTGATATTCTTGATACCAAATGTTTTTATGTAGCAAACGAGTACCTGAATGCAGCTGACATCTATGGAACTTATTTTAATTCAGCTAGGTAAGTAGAACTGCGTGTCACAAAAATACCTTCCATTGCCTTGTAACCGGATGTGACTGATATTAAATGCCAGTGGGAGTAAATTTTCCTCACGCTGTACAATTCCAAGATGGCTCAAAGGTCGTGTGAAAATTTGATTTCCTTCCAAGATAGTTTAAAATATTTTAAGTGGAAACTCATCAAGGACAGGAATAGGAAAAAGTTAGGTTGTTTTAAAAGTAATTTATTCCCACGTACGCGAAACAAGTTATTTATATTTCGTGCAAAACAAATTAATGAACACTAATTTATAAAATTAGTCTACGCTGTTATGGTGGTCTTGAGACTAGAACATTTATCATCCACTAAACACAGAGTTACTCTACCTCTATTTTACATCTCAAACTTCATTAACCGCCAAGGTGGGAAAACATCCCTCTGTGCAATTGAGATTTAATAAAAGCAATATTAATGTTGTATAATATTGGTATCCATTAGGCAAATTATTTGAATTTTAAATTAATATAAAAATTAAGAAATTCATACATTAAGATCTATCCTGGGAACCATAAATTTATTTCAGGGTAAAATATTGATATATATTTAGCTCACAAATTCATTTGTATGTGTTTTGAAAGCTTAAAACCAAATAATACAGTACGAAAGTAATTATGTGTTGTGCGATTGCTTGTTTTCATCGTTTATGTATTATTTAGATATTTATTGTGCAGGAGCATGACTGAACCATGTGGTAAGGTGATGGTACTATTTAGCACAGCAATAGCGGCCTCTTGCCATCAGCACTGAAGCTCCTCTTCTCAGGTATGCCCTTGCTTGCTCTCTTCCTAAGCCTTCCGTTCTTGTACGCCTTCACACCAGGAGATCACTTGTTCATATCAGATCTTGTCTCTGTCTTTTCCAGAATCTGTGATGGTGGCATTGTGGTCGGCACCAGAACATAAAGTGACGTTGGCATGTCGCCTCAGTGCTCCGAGGCCCACGGCAGTGTGTCGCTGGCACCACCCGCCACACTTAACTGTGGCCCTCGAAGACCAGGAACAAAGGTCAAGGAAAATTTAAAATAATGAGGTGTCAGCAGCCTGGGAAATGATCGCAACAGGACTCAGATTAAATCTTTGAGTTCGTGCTCTGTTCATGTGCCTCGCCTGTGTTAACACAGCAGACACTTTCTAAAGTCATACTCTCTTGCGTTACATGCACATGAGTATACTTGTTGGCAGATGTCTTTAAAATTTCAAAGTAAATGTTGCCCCCTCCAAATAGGAAATGGATTTGCAGTGTCGGCTGTGTTCCTCGAGAAATTCTCATTACCCTGAGAGTCTGGAGATAGTTTTCTTGTCAGAATCGAAGAATTTAAAACTGTAACAAAAAAAGAAATTGTTTCTGGTTTGGTGTCGTATTGTAAATAAATAAACAGCCTTAAGAAAGTTAATAGCAGCTGTGAGTCTGAAGATGGCTGTCTTCAGGGTTGTTGCGCCCTGTAGTCTGGCTGTTGTTTACCGACGTTTTAGAGGTCATTGCTACTACCAGACTACATGGTGCAACAACCCAGAAGACAGCCATCTTCAGAAGTTAAATCTCCTAGCAGGGATGAAATTGCACTTTCATATTTTTTTATCGACATCTGCTACAAATTTTGTACTGATTTAAATATTATATTGAAATAATGACTCTTTGAAGAATTTGTTTAGTTTTCTTTCCATTCTCGATATAAATATCAGCTTGTCTCTTTTCTCTACTATGAAAAGAGTCCGAGGTTTTACCACAGCCAGGTGCAAGGGTGATACTGTTCATGTGTTAACTGCTATGGAGACTTGTTATAAGCATAAGTGCGCGCGTTAAGCAACAAAGTTTGTGTTCTGACCAAATATTTTCTTCATGTCATTAAACTCAATAGACCAAGATTCAGTTTTGAGACTTGATGTAAATCAAATAGAATCCTGCCGGAGGAACATTCTTACCGAACGGTATAAGGTACGCCTGCACGTGAAGCAATACTTTCTTTCCTCGAGCGAGTGTTCCAGGATGATACATAAATTGTACGCGGTTTATAAACCTGCGTTATGCGTTCCTGAAGGCCTAAAAATTCTTACTAATATTTCTAGATGGCAAATTGTTCTGTTTTACAAGTGCTGTTACCATTAGGTAGCTTGTAGAAATACTTGTGTGTGGGCGGTGATAATGTTGAAACAACAGGCATGGAAGAGGAAGACAGAAGAATGGAGGGAAGGAAATAGGCGAAGTGAAGGTAGTAGAATGGGACAAACTGCGGAAGAATGGAATTTGACTGGGTCATCTGTGCTAGTTATTAGAAATGTTCTACAGTCTGTACAAATTATAGGTGTAAGAATTCTGTCATTTCACTCTCTCGGTAGGAAAGGTGTTCTGCCAAGAATAACTCACACGTGTTCTCTTGTGCTGCAGGTTTTTCATGCAATATAATACCAGTCTGGGTACGTGTGCAATCATTTTTGGGCCAGAGATAGACGACTTGGGTCAGTGGAGCTGCACCTTTACGATAAATGATTGGGAAATAGCATCTGCGACTCTTGTGTTACTCACTACACCGCCAGGTAAAGGTATATCAAGTCATGATCTTGCATTATCAGCATCGTGCTTCAGATATTCGGCCGCTCATTACATCCACTGTTCGTGTCCAAAGATGAGAAACTAAGATCATGATATTTTGTGGGATTCGAGGTTTTCACCGCGGTGAGTACGAAGACAACTGTCTTCTAGGTTGTAGCAACGTGCAGTCTGGTAGACATTTTCCAGTCTTACAGAGGTCCTTGTAGCTGCCATCATCAGGGTGATGAAATGGTGAACTTGTACCAGACTACACGGCACAACCCAGAAGACAGCCTTCTTCAGAATGTTTTAATTTTGTAAGATTTGAGGTTTTCGCAGCGGTGAGTATGAAGATTTCTGTCTTCTGGGATGTTGCGCTGTGTAGTCTGGTCGATGTTAACCAACGTTTCAGAGGTCATACTGCCTCC